GAATAAAAAAGACACCTAATAGCTGCAGCAATCCTGAGAAAGAAGAATAAAGTTGGTGTCTGTTTTTGTGCCAGTACCAAGCTGTTTTGAGAACAGTGGCTTTGTAATACAGCTTGATATCTGGTATTGAGATCCCACCTACTTTGTTCTTCTTCCTCAGGATTGCTGCAGCTATTCGTGGTCTTTTTTTATTCCAGATGAATTTTTGGAGAGTTTGTTCTAGGTCTGTGAAATATGCCGTTGGTATTTTAATTTGCCATTGATTTTTGGAGAGAGTGGGAGAGAGAAGGAGAGAAATATCGATGTGAGAGAAACACATCGATTGGTTGTCTCCTGTGTGAGCCCTGACCAGGGTCTGAGCCAGAGAGGAGCCTGCAACCTAGGTACATGCCCTTGAACGGAACTGAACCTGGGATCCTTTGGTCCATAGGCCAACACTCTATCCATTGAGCCAAACCAGCCAGGGCCTCACAATACTCTTTAAAAATATTTGAAAGTATTGTTTACAACATAAATCTAGTTTATTTGACCATAGAAGAGGAGTTCTTGGGAATTGTAAATGCAGACATTGAGCAGGCATTATTTTGGAGTGCCTATGGATGGTTATTTTTTTGTTGCCATTCCTGTTATTGTTTTTAACACATTAACTCTGTAAAGTCTAGAATTTCAAATATAAGATTTTTAGTGCATTTATTATATAGAGAAAAATATGTTTTTGTGTAATGAGTATATTTTTGGAGGAGTTGCTTATTCAAAAATATTCAAAATGCTACTTATTCAAAAAGTCATAAGGAAATTCTATTATGAAATCCACCATAAAGACATTCTATTATGAATCTTTTTTATAGTGTGAATAAATAATTTTCATACTACTAAAAATAACTGTCTTTTGGTGAATTGTCCTATCAGAGTTCCTTCAAGTGGTGGTATGACCATATAAGCAGTGAATACAATTAACCCATTTGTGAGACTGAGAATATAATTTCTGCTTCCCTTTATACTTGTTGAGGCTTCTGCAGAGAGAAAATTTGAACCTACTGAGGATGAGAGGAAAATCCAGTTGTCTCAGCTTATTTCTAACAAGGTAGTTCTTTCAGTAATGGCTAGAATCACAAATTCAGATGAAGATCTACCACAGAATGTGAGCTTCTATTTGCTAAAAAAAAAAAATCATATATGCTAAGACACTTGGTGTCCTTAGCATACACAGAAAACTGTCTAATGTTAAATGTTATTTAAAAAGTCAGGAGGTTTGGATCTGGGCTTGGACCCCATTATGAGTGTTTATGGGATTCGTGGAATCATAC